GTCCAGCTAGTTGCCCAGGCATGGCCTTTTTCTCTATAACTCAAGAGCCTATGTATGTTATCTCTAGGAACTTGATGACCTATACTGAAGCCTTAATACCCCACCCGTATTGCAGGGTTTTGTTTTGTTTTTTGGCTTAAAGAGTAAATTACATATAAAAAACCATTGAGTTCCTATTAAAAAAGACATTCCCGTCCTGCAGGACATGTGGATCTTACTAAGTCTTTTGCTCCTTTAACTTCTGATTACAATTTTCTCTAAGACTTGGATCCAGCATCCACTGAACACAATGGCAAAATCCCCATTGTCTCAAAATGTACATATAACACATTTATTTAATTTGTATTCTGGGGAGATGGGGGGGGGAGTGCATGCATATGTGTGTGCCTGTCCTGTATAATTTTAACAATTACGTTTTTTCCCCCACTTCTTACTCTGGAGTTCATTATTTTTTCCTAGAATCAGAGCCGGCTCCGGGCACCAGCTGAGCAAGCTGGTGCTTGGGGCGGCAGATTGTTGGAGGCGGCATTCTGCCCAATCCTAGGGCGGCACGGCCGCTTTTTTTTTTGTTCTTGTTCCGCTCCAGCCGCCCTGTAGGGGGCGGTGGTGCGGAGAACCAGAGCGCCCTGCAGGGCAGTTCCTCTTCCTTCCCTCCCTGCTGACTGGAGCGGAGCCCTCTGCTGTAGCCCTGGCCGCCCCCTTCCCGCCCGCTCCCCAGCCGCAGGTTTTTTTTTTTTTGTTGTGCTGCTCGCCCCCCCCTCTTTTTTTTTTGTTTTTTTTTGCTTGGGGCGGCCAAAAAGCCAGAGCCGGCCCTGCCTAGAATGCACTTTTATTTTTCCTTTATGGTTACAAAAAGTCATTTGATGTTCTTAGCTCAAATCAGTGGTATGTTAGAGATGATAACTCTCTAGCTAAGCAGAGTGCTGTTTGCTATGAAACAACATACCTGGATATTCAAAGAAATTGGGGAGATGACATTTCACTCAGAGTTGTAGAAAAAAAATTCATATCTTCATTTCTGACAGATTATAATCTGTGGTTTAAAAACAAAGCATAAAGATGTAATGGGAGAGAAGATCAAATATGAGACACATGGTAAATTAAATTCATCACAGGGAATATTGGTTTATGTGGTGGTCTTGAAGATGCTAGAGATAAGAATGTAAAGTGCCTCGTACTATAGAATCCGTTGTTGAAGCTGTTTCATTTTGGTTACATAATTTGAAAACAATGGGCCAGCTTTTGGTCTTTACTGTGGTGTTTTTATACTGCTCTCTTGGAACAAAAGGGCCATCCAGCTGGCTTACGTGAACAGCTGGGGATTCTTTAGATGTGGAAGAAATCCCTGGCTGGTGCAGCGCCATCATAGCTATGATTTTAACAGGATCTATAAAAATCACTAGGAGCCAAATTCAAAGGTGTTGTGTAAGAAGGGAATAAGTAATGGGTAGGAGCCAACGTGAGTTTCCATAAGTGAATTTCAGTAAGGAAATCTCAAAGAGTCTAAGTTGACATATGCAGTATGGCTCTATGAAAATGTAAATTACACTACATTAGATTGTATCTAAACTCCCTTTGGATTTGGCCCGGTGCTTGCGCTGCCCCTACTGGACCTGCAGCAGCAGTTATCCCAGAAATACTGTCCTTAGGTCAGTCTGGAGTACTGCCTTAGTCATGCGGTGCACATGGTAACAGAGAGAGAGATGTAGGCGCAGTGGGCAAGACGTCCTATTGGCTGGCAAACAGGACAGTCCAGGACCCCAACAACTCACCAGGAATGGACTACTTTATGAGACTGTTTCAGGGGACTTTGGTTTAACAAAAGTTTAAGTCCATTCCTTGAAGTAAAAATCACTCTAAGTCCTGAGTGATGACTAGAGGTGAACTTTGGGGGCTAGTCTCCACTGCAGTCAATGGGAGTAGTACCAGTGACTTCGCTGGGAAAGGGATCAAGTCCATAGGTCCTAGATGTATCCAGCTACCACATGGGAGTGCAAGGAGGGGCTGGGAGTTCATGAACCCCTCGCATGCTGTTGCATCCCTGCTCAACAGCTGGGCCCTGCTCCCCATGCGTACCAGCGAACTCCGTAAGGCACAATTTGTCCCAGCCCCCAGTAACTTTTTAAAAGACAGAGTCTTTAAATTAAATTTCCAGGTCATTAGGGAGCAATTTGGCCTTGCTCCTAGCATCTGTGGGAGATCAGGCCTTTAGTTCAAAAACACACTAAAACAAAGGATTTTTTTCTCATTTTAAACGGGGGGGAACAGCAGCCTATGAAATGAGCATCCTCAAGCCCCTGCACAAAGACTTCAAAAAGATCTTAGTGTGAATGCTGATCTGCAACTAGAGTTATAACTACCCTATGCTGTACCCACATCATACATTTCAGCCAGAAAAGCCTAAAATGGTCAGGAGAAGATAGAAAAACAAGTATCTGGGAGATGTTATCATCCAGAGAAATTTCCAATCGTAACATCAGACACAATAACTGGACTCAATTAAAAGGTGAGAACATTTCCATCATGCATTTTCTCTACTTCAGTCAACTACAACAACAATAGTAATATCTTAACCATTAAAAAAAAATAATCAACTCACGACATGTTTTAAGCCCTTCATTCTTTATTACTTTGAAGACAGGTTTTAAACCTTTGCAGAGTCCGTCTCCATAGACTTGAATCCCAGCAGGTACCATTATGATTATCTAGTCTGATCTCCATAACCAAGCCGTAGAACTTCACTCCCTAATTTCGGCATCAAGCCCACCGCAGAACCGATGCTTTGGCTGAGACTCAAAGCCAGACCACCTGCATGGCCGACAAGAATTCTCTCACTGAGCCACCAATGCTGTAAAAAAAGTCCGAGCAGCAAATCTGCGTGAAAGTGTCATGAAACAACGCTGCAGTGTTTTGCTTAGTTTATGGTTTTGTTAAACTCAAGCTAAGCTCCTCGAAAGATTTGTCCAGTGCCTGCAAATGGTTCTGTCAAACTGGGACACGTTTTGATCAGACCTGTTTCCTGCAAGCCTGGTCAGCATTTTGAATGAAGCCAGGCAGAGTTCTGAGTGGTCTCAACTCTTGCTGCCTTTTCCCATTTCTTACGACAGGGTATGGTGCCATCATGTGGTCAGTGCTCTCACCTGTTGAATAATTTACTTTTTTCCCCACCTCTTCTCTTTTCTGTTTTATTATTTAACTTTCTCCCCCACTCCTTCTTTGCCACTAAGGTGATATGCTACGATGTTATGGCCCATTCCTGCAGGCTTCTATTTCATGTGAGTTTGGCTGAGTAAGCACTGGAGGACCTATCTCAGGATGGCTTATATTGCTCCAAATGGAAAAACACCAATAAAAATAACTGTGAGAAACCCATGTTGCTCTCAGTGCTGTCTATGCAAGGAGGACTGAAAAGAATAAAGCATAAGAACAAAGGATTTAAAATACACATTGATTAGCACTTTTACAAATGTTGTAATACAAGGAAATCCTATAGTGAGAGTCTGTTCCCAAATCCCTCCAGCTCTCCTCCCGTAGGCCCCACTCCAGCAAAGCACATAAACATTGGCTTAATTTTGTCTGAAATGTTTTTGCTGGACTGAGTCCTTCCCCTACAATAGCCCCAACATTTTAAAAATGCTTAGCAATCTCAGTGGACCTGTGTCCTAGCCAAAAGTGCCTATTCCACTTGAGTCTGTTTTTTTTCTTTCTTAATTGAACAATATTATCCATACACTAGAAGGCCTAAAGCCTTAACATCCCATCTGCCCTGTAGGAGATTTCCCATCACGCACTGCTTTCCAGGAGCACAGTTGGCTCCAGGATGTACTTTTCATAAACATGTAGAACCCATTTCTGCTCACTTCCTCATGCGCTTATTCAGACATGTAGTTCCAATGTAGGGTTGCCAACTTTCAAATGGCACAAAACTGAACACCCCTCCCCCTCCCCCAAGGCCCTGCCCCTTCTCTGAGGCCCTACCCCTGTTCATTCCTTCCCCCCTCTCTGTTGCTTGCTCTCTCCCACCCTCACTCACTTTCACCGGGCTGGGGCAGGGGGCTGGGGTGCAGGAGGGGGTGAGGGCTCCAGCTGGGAGTGCGGGCTCTGGGGTGGGGCCAGGAATGAGGGCTTTGGGATGTGGGAGGGGGCTCAGGGCTGGGGCAGCGGGTTGTGGTGTGTGTGGGAGCACGGGGTGCAGGAGGGGACTCCAGGCTGAGGCAGGCGTGTGGGAGGAGTTTCAGGATCCCAGTGGCAGTTACTGCAGCTCCCAGGAAGTGGTTGCCACGTCCCTGCAGCCCCTAGGCACATGGGCGGCCAGAGAGGCTCCAAGTACTGCCCTCACAGACTGCAGGTGCTGCCCCCACAGCTCCCACTGGTTGTGGTTCCCGGCCAACGGGAGCTGCAGAGCCGGCACTGGGGCGGGGGCAGTGCACGGCGCCTCCCTGGCCGCCCATGCACCTAGGGGCCGCAGGGACCTGGTGGCCGCTTCCAGGAGCCGCACAGAGCTAGGGCAGGCAGGGAGCCTGCCTTAGCCCTGGGCCCCTGCTGTGCCACTGACCGCATTTTTAATAGCCCAGTTGGCAGTGCCGACCAGAGCCGCCACAGTCCCTTTTCAACGGGGCATTCTGATTGAAAACCGGATGCCTGGCAACCCTATTCAAATGGGATTACTCACCTACTCAGCATGAAGAAGGGTGGCAGAATCAGGTCCTTAAGTGATATCATGCATTAAAAGAAACCCTAAGGCACAGTGAACAGATGTAATAACATTGCAGGTGTCAAGCAGTCTTGCTCTGCTTGTATTTCTTAGCCCACAAAATTAAGTTCTATAATGCCCTGGACCTGAGGCATGTTCCTAGGTCATTTCTAACACAGCTATTCACATTTTTACACAAAAAATAATCAATAGATACACACATCTACTCTACAGGATGAAATGGAATATCTAGATACATTCAGTACATTTTACAAATTGTTTCATGTGATGCTTTTGTTCTGTTTATTTTGATTTATATTTTCATCTTTCCATAAAAAAAAATGTCCCTAGAAATAAAGAGTTAAAGGCAGATCGTCTTCATTGCTCTCTGCAATACCATGTGTCAGAGCTAATCACATGTTAATGTGTAAGCTGCGTGAAAGTGCAATTTTGGGTGCCCTCCTGCAGCTTCCAGCTTTGAGTTAATATTTAGGCCAGTGTTTCTCAAACAGGGCTGGTCTTCTGTGTCCAATCCTGGAGTAGTACTGGGAGAACGTTGGGGATAGGAGCAGGCTGAAATGGCTGAAATGGCACTACAGGGATGGCCAGTTACTGAGCCTTGGAGGGTGAAATAAAGGAGACAATAGGGAAATCTTGCAGGGCAAACAAATGTGAAGGTTTTATTGGGATCCAGCAGTAAGAGTGGCCCCAGCCACATGGATCCGGGACTAGACTGATGGTGGAGACGTTCTTCCTCTGGTAGAGATGGGCATGCTCAGACATGGGGACAGCAGGCAGCACGTTCTGCTGGCTCTTCCCCCTTTCCTCTGCTGGGGCTTGATCCTGTGCTCATTGAAGCCAATAGTAAAGCTCCCATTGACTTAATGGTGCAGGATAATGGGTCTAGTTTCTAAGTCTTCTGTGCTCCTTTGCTCTGTGCTGGGAAGAGAAGGGGAGCGTATTGGCCTATTCTTCTCTTTCCAAAATTTTAGCAAATAAAACCAAAGTCTGGCTGTTTAAGGCACAGATGCCATGCAGGGCAGAACAATTCAGATACACAGTTCATAGCAAATCTCCCCATGACTTTCCGTTTTAATTCATTCATGTTCCATTTTATACAGAATAGGCAAATAAATGACATATAATTTAGTTTGCATTGAAAAGGAAATAATATTCCCAACCGTCATCCCAATGGGCTCATGCAATATTGCGTCCTTGGATGAGAATGATGTGTTTAAAAGTCGGTAATGCGGAGAGAATGATGCTTTGAATGTAATCAGTGATGTAAGGACTTTTGCTCAGAGGGTGCGTGCACTGGATGTATTTTGTTATTCATTTATGGAAAACTGACTACTCTGGTTAATCTCAGCAGTAGCAAATGCTAGGCCCGAGAGCAGGCAGCACATGAGCATCCTAGCCCAGATAGCCACCTCCCAGCCTGGCTGGTCCTCAAGTGGGGTGAGACTTTGGCCTTGCTTCCACTCCTCCTTAGGCCTTGTGGTAGGGGGACCCTGCAGGAAGTGGCATGGGCCGAGGGACGTGCTGGCCACCCTTCCTGCTGCCCCCATTGGCCTGGAGCAGCGAAGACGGCCAGTGGGAGCCGCGATTGGCCGAACCTGCGGACGCGGCAGGTAAACAAACCGGCCCGGCCCACCAGGGGCTTTCCCTGAACAAGCGGCGGCCCTAGTTTGAGAACCACTGCACTAGACTGTCACTTAGGCCAAGGCTTTCAATGCTGGATGGCTAAAGTTAGGTACCTAAATCCATATTTAGGCATCTTGGGGTACGTCTAGACTGCAGTTGGGAGGGTCCTTCCCAGCATGGGTAGACAGGCCCTCGCTAGCTCTACTGAAGCTAGCACGCTAAAAATAGCAGTGTAGCCAGGATTAGCATGGGCAGAGGCTCACGGGGTCAGGGCAGGTTTGTACTCAGGCTATCCCAAGCTGCTGCTGTGTGACCCTAGGAATGTCACTTAGCCTCTCTGCACATCAATTCTTCATCTGTTAAATGGGGGAAATAGCCCTTCCCTACCTCACAGGGGTGTTGTGAGGATAAACACATACAAGACTGTGAAAGGCTCAGATCCTATGGGGAGGTGGCCACGTAAGTACCTTAGATAGAGGGTTTTCAGAAGTTCTGGGCAACCACAAATTCCTCTGATTTCAGTGATGAGGTCTCTATTTTTAATAGCGTTGGCAGCTGTGAAATCAATAAAGATCTTTGTGAAGCTGACCTGGATGTTAAGGATTGGTCTCAGCTTGGTCTCCTCTTAGTGCTTTGCGTGAAAGTTCATATCCAAGAAACATGGCTGCACTCATCGGGAATCCTCGCACTGCGTTGACTGTGATGCCCCTAACAAAGACCTGTTCAGGATGGGAAAAGATTACAGCAAAGGAACAGATCAGATATTTTCATAAAGGCAACACCGAGCTAAAACATAGTGGAAATGTGAACAACAAAACGTGGTACATTGTGAGCTGCTCATAGACATTTTGTGAGCTGGAGGAGTTATTACCTAGCTTCCGTGCTCATGCATCTGTGCATTTTCTATCTGAGCACCAGAGAGTCAAAATACAATAGCAAGTTGCTAGTTTGATGGGGCTGCATACATACTCTGCTGTTTTTATAGAATGCCCTCCAAGCAGATATATTAGCAGCAGTGAAAAGCAGGAGGTGGCTCTCAGAAGTTTCTTTTCCTGCAGTGGGTAAAAAGTGGGCTAACTAATACGTGTTTATATCTTTGTGACCAGAAAACAGGAAATCTAAATCTTCTTCTTAATCTCCCTTCTCTTATCTGTCTCTCCCTTCCTCTCTTGCACGTGCATTGAAAACCATATTGAAAGAGCTGAGAAAATGAAAGGCAAGATTGCAGAGCCTCTTGCCTTTGCAAATGAAGTGCTCAAACTTTATGGGCTAGTCTTCAGTTGCACCAGAGTTCTGCGTGAGACATCTGGGGCTTGAGGAGATGTTACAATCCGGGTTCAGTCTCTGCTGCAAACTGGAGAAGCCAAAGGTCTCTTCCAAGGATAGCTGCAGTGCTCCTCACCTCTCCTATTCTCAGGAGACATGAACACACCATCCATCGACATAGCAGGGCAGGAGCAGGTGGCATAGAACCAGCTACACAGGCCCTATAGGGCTCCAGGAACATAGAGTTTCCTAGCCTGGCCCTAAACGCAGTCACTTATGACGGGGCAGTTCCCAGTTTCTCCTTCATGACAGCTTTAAGGCCCTGACCCAACAAAGTACTTTAGCACATGCTTAAAATTTAAGCACATGAATAGTCCCATTGACTTCTGTGGGGTCACTCGTGGGTGTAAGGTTAAGTACATGCGTAGATGCTTTGCTGGATCAGGACCTATATCCCCTTGTCTTTGCTAAGTGTTCCATCTCAGTGCAAGTAGAATATTTTGCAGTTTTCTCTTCTGCTTTCACAAAACAGTTTCCAATCTAAGGAAAAATGTACAATTGTTCTGTGCCTTATTGAGAATTAGTTCACATGACTCCAGAATAGACTTAACGGCAATATTTCATATAGGTCAACACTTCCAAATCTGATTTCCTAAAGCCAGGGGCCTAAGTCCATATTTAAGCATTTCTTTTATTTGGGTGACTAAATATGGATTTAGGTATTCAGGTTTGATACTTTTGGTCATCATATTTTGAATTGATGATGTGTTTCTGAGAGTGAAAAAGGCTGCATTTTTTGATTGCTTGAACAGTAAAGTGGAAAAGGAGTCATTGTATTAATAACATACGTCACTTCTATTGCTAACTTGTATCCTGTTTTAAAATTCTGCCGTCTCACATAGCACTATTGCGTAGTTCTCACTGTACTGAAAACCAATATCAACTTGTTTTTACGAACATTCCATTTAACTAGTTCCAAAATGTTTAGTGGAGTGTTTCAGTTAGCAAGCTACTAACAGAATCATATTATTAAATAAATTCATTGATTAAATTTAGATTACTGAATTTTGGAATAGGAGTGGAGACTAAAATCATAGAATATCAGGGTTGGAAGAGACCTCAGGAGGTCATCTAGTCCAACCCCCTGCTCAAAGCAGGATTTAGTTGGTGTTGATCATCCCAGCCAGGGCTTTGTCAAGCTGGGCCTTAAAAACCTTTAAGGATGGAGCTTCCACACCTCCCTAGGTAATCCATTCCAGTGCTTCACCACCCTCCTAGTGAAATAGTTTTTCCTAATAGCCAACCTAGACCTTCCCCACTTCAATATGAGACCATTGCTCCTTGTTCTGTTATCTGGCACAACTGAGAGCAGACAAACTCCATCCTCTTTGGACCCCTCCTTCAAGTAGTTGAAGGCTGCTATCAAATCTCCCCTCACTTTTCTCTTCTGCAGACTAAATAAGCCCAGTTCCCTCAGCCTCTCCTCATAAGTCATGTGCTCCAGCCCCCTAATCATTTTCATTGCCCTCCACTGGACTCTCTCCAATTTGTCCACATCCTTTCTGTAGTGGGGGGCCCAAAACTGGACGCAATACTCCAGATGTGGCCTCACCAGTGCCAAATAGAGGGAAATAATCACTTCCCTCGATCTGCTGGCAATGCTCCTATTATGCAGCCCAATATGCCGTTAGCCTCCTTGGCAACAAGGGCACACTGTTGACTCATATCCAGCTTCTCGTCCACTATAATCTCCAGGTCCTTTTCTGCAGAACTGCCACTTAGCAGTCGGTCCCCAGCCTGTAACAGTGCATGGGATTCTTCCATCCTAAGTGCAGGACTCTGCACTTGTCCTTGTTGAGCCAGATTTCTTTTAGCCCAATCCTCCAATTTGTCTAGGTCACTCTGGACCTTATCCCTACCCTCCAGCGTGTCTACCTCTTCCCCCAGCTTAGTGTCATCTGCAAACTTGCTGAGGGTGCAAACCATCCCATCATCCAGATCATTAATGAAGATGCTGAACAAAACTGGCCTCAGAACAGACCACTAGGGCACTCCGCCTGATACTGGCTACAAAATAAATGCATTAAAAAAATCCTTCAGTCCTTACAAAGGGAAAAAGGATTTTTGCCTGATTGTAGTCCAGTACTAGGAAGTCTATAATTTAAAATAGCTATCTAGCATTTTCTTTGAAATTCAGAAATTTGCTAATCAAATAATAAGGTAGAACCCAGGGAATAGAACACAGCTTTACAAAGCTCAGAACCACTGATAGTCCTACAGTGCCACCAGGAGGCCAAGCAATAATACACCCAGAGAGCAGTATGTAGAGTAGGCACTGCAGGATGTACTGCCCAAGAGACCCACAGTGACGGTACCCTGTGGCCCTCTGAGTGGCCAAGCGCCCTGTTTAACTTCAGGGGTTGCCCCAGGAAGTTGTCTGGGCAAGCACATAGACTTTGTCCCGCTGCCACACCAGACTTTGCTTGATCTCCTAATTTCTGGTCTTCGATTTCAGCCTGACCCTGACTCCTGCCTCTCAATTCTAGCCTGGGACTGCTTCTGATCTCCGGTCTTCAATCCCAGCCTGACTCTAGTTTACAGAACCTGGCTCTTGCGATTCCTCCAGCTCCTGCCTGGCAGCTACCGCCCATGGTGGGCAGACCTGAGCCCAGCTGTAACCATTAGGCCAGACCACCTACGCCCCAGTCCATTATGCCACTGAAATGTACGATAGAGCATCTAAACATGGTGGAGTTTGTAATATGGGACGGGAGAGTTGTGTGTTTTGTTTTTTAGAGATGATGGAATTTTTATGACAAAGGTGTAACTCTTTGTCCGCATTTCTTAAAAGTCACATTCAAGGACAAAGGTAAACATCAACTGAGATGTACAGAGAAAGGCCTTAGGACTTGATCTTCTTCTATTCAGAATGAACACACACAATACTGAGTGGGAAAAGGGGCCACAATTCTTTTTTGTACACTCTGAGGTTACTTAGGGCTTTAACAACCCTGTTTCTCTCTCTCCTAATACCAGGGCTGCTGAGAATGGGTTCGGGCCCTGGTGCAAAAAATTTTTCGGGCCCCCCAGCAAGGGCGGACCGGCTAAACAGGGCTGACGGGGAGGGGGGCGGGTGGAAGCCGGGCCCCGGGCCCCCTTCCGGACTGCCGGGCCCCAGTAATTTCCCCCCCCCTCTCGTTGGCCCTGCCGAATATAAACATCCAAATCAGGGTTCAACATCTCCCAGCAATGCTCCATTACTTTGGTTTCACCCAATAGGAAACTGACGAAAATAGGTTTTCCTTATGAAACTGTCCTTGTATTCAGCTCTCTGGCGGACCTGCAGATTCCCTTTCCCAGCAGCACAACCATGACTGGCTGCAGACTCTGTACATTGAAATTTGGCCATTGGAGGTAGTTGGGGTAAGATCAGAAAGACAAAATGCTGATCTCCTGCAGCCCTCATTCCTGTGAATATCCAATCATTGTTTTATATGGTTACTTGCTGTATATTTGTCCATGCCCCATACTCCCCTGTGTCATATGAGTGAGAATAAAAGATGGAAACAGCCCTCATCTGGGAAAAGGATCAGACTATGAGCTTCTGTGGCTGTTGATCTGACCTACTGGCACGTTGCAAAAAAGATGCCAAATATTTAACAGGTCACAATTGCAAATTTGCCAGTTATTTTTCTTTTTATAATTGGTTATTTTTCCTCTCAGAACTTGGAATTAGCACTCTTTAGCTATGAGCTATATAGTGTTTTGGTGAAGGCTTAAGATGCACCTGGCATTCAAGTGTCAGAGACAACGACGCAATGTTCAGGCATTGTCGGTGTATAATACAATAAACCCATTGGGCTTCATTCTCTGCCCTTCCAATTTAACAGCTTTTTACACCCACTTTGTCCTTGTGTGAAATGACTGTAGGTGCTAAAGGGCATCAGAGAAACAGACCTATCAAATCTCATCCAAGAATAACTAAATACATAATGAATCCTGGTCCTAGTGAAGTCAATGGTAATGTCCCCATTGACTTTAATGGAGCCAGCATTTAACCTCATGATGAACAGCACTCTAGTCTCAATTAAACTTTTTTATTTCAACGGTGCTTCTCAAAATGGGTAGCAGAACCTGACCTTATAGCATTTAAAATCTTTGGTTCTTTAGGACATATTATTGTCATCAATATTATGACTTATAATTAATTGTACTGGTTTTAATTATTTATTGTCTACCCTCAGTTTGGATAATAACAGCCATTACATTTTTCACTACAAATTAATGCCTAGTAGCATTTTTTTTCCTCGCAATACCACTTACTTTTAAGCCCTCACTATGGTAGCTCTGGGAGATACAATCAACGACTCCTTTGTATTTGTTTAAATAAACCCCATCAGCTTGAAGTCGACTTTTCACAACATCCATCGGCGTAGCAGTCCCCCAGGAAATTGCTCCTAGAAATAAGGAAAAGATAATTCCTTCCGTATACTGATGTGGTACAACTGTGCTGCGGTGATTATGATTGGAGATACACGGGTAATAATATACTCACTGCTACTGCATGCCTATACACACCCTTCCTTAACCCCAGCCTGCTACCCCCACTAATTCACCACTCACCTAGTGCATCCAGTTGGTGGCACTTCCAGAAAGGATGAATACACTGGAATGATAGTGTAAAGTAGCATTTCTGGCATCAACATGGCATTTCTGGGGGTAATGTACCACATTTCCGGACAAACTGTTTGAGGAACTGGTTGTCAGTGTAACACAGGTAAGGAACAAGGTAGGTAACCAATTACAGGCAGATCAGAAGTACCCCTGTGTGTGTAGATACTTCTGCAGTGCCCAGGACTAAGACTTGAGAAAGTATCACTTAATTCAAGTTTGTGAAGAAAGGCTCTTCCCCCCCCTTCCCTCAACCCCCAAACTTCCCAGGCTCCACAAGCTACAAAACTACAATTTCCAGTATGTTGCTAACAGAAGCAATTTAAAAATAACTGGAATCCTGGGGGTATATTGAAAAAGAGGGCATTGGGTTAAGAAGGTGTGTGTGGATGAGGTACTGTTTTAATCACATGGGGATGGACTGAATCTGAATCCTGTTGATTACTCCGCAATCGGATGGGATGTTTTTCCTGGTTGCAAAGGTCAATGGGGCTTACGTCGCTTATGACTGAGGTCTTCCAGTTACTCAGGATCTTGCTCACGTATAGAAAACCTAGTCCTCTATTTGCTCCCTTTTTGCTTCTGGAATGTGATGTTTCCATGCTGAGAGATTTAATGGTTTAAGAAAGTCTCATGCATATTGATTCGGTATTATAATGAAACCTGTGGTCTTTCATGCCAGACAGTGACTGTGTGATTGGGTTGTATGGGGGAGATGGACGGAAGGAACGTGCCTAGAGCTGTGCCAATGTCCTGACATACTAGAGAATTTGTTCAAATCAACCAGTGCTCTGTTTGTCTGCAAGTGAAACAGAGCCGGTGTGTTGTAATCATTACCCAGGCTAATAAGTAACTGTCTTCATTTGGGATCCAGAGATTTAGGAATTGTAAATAAATCATTAGCTAGTTTAAGGGCAATTTTGTAGATCTAAATGCATAAATAAAAGTGGTAAGGGCCAGTATAAACAGAGAAAGCAGGCTTCAGCCTCCAGCACGGAGACAAGATTAACGATGACTCTCTTGGTTTTGCGGCTTCTCCTGTGGTGGATGCATGTTTATCCTTACGAGGTACATACAGGGTAACATAGTGCCTTCCAGGCTTATGGGCCATTCAGAAAGCTGAAAGGCAAGAGTGAACTGCGGTCCACTGACGCTGATACTAATTACACAGGCTTAGGGCTGATGCAAAGCCCACTGGCATCCCTGGGAGTCTTTCCAGTTATTTCACTGGGCTTTGGATCAGGCCCTTAGTGAGAAGAAAATAAAAACCTGAGGCCCCAGTCTTGCAAGTAGTTATACAGGTGCTTAACTTTGCTCCCATGAGCAGTCCCGCTGTACACAGAAATCTTGTGAAATCCTGGCCCCATTGAAGTCAAAGGCAATATTCCAGTTGACTAGAAAGGGGCCACGATTTCATCCTTAGTTCATAAGTCACTGCATCAAAAGTAAAACATTAAAGGGTAATTCCACTGACTTCAACAACACTAGGCCTGATTTACAGCCATGTAAATGAGAGGAAAATGGGGCCTTAAAACACGGACATTTTATGATTCAGATTGATTGTTGCAGAAGATTATCCATTGTATAGGTACATATATTGTGCCTCATGCACAAAGACTAAACACAATAAAGAAATCTTACCGGGCCAATAAAATTAGTGCTTTGGCTGTTCTGCTTTTCACTGGTTTTGGGTACGGCTAGGATCCAACTAATATGACTGCTATAAAGTGTCCGAAGTTTAGACTAAGCTTCATATTCATTTGTTTCCCAACCTTGTGAAACAAAAATGACCATACCTGCTATACCTCCTGCCATCCACACAGAAGAGGGACTAGGAGATATGCATCCCTCGGGAGTAATCCAGCCACAGAGAACTGTATAAGGGATGAAGTATAGGCAATACCCAGGAACATCCCTCAGAAGCATTGCTCCGGCACCTCGGTACATTCCAGCTAAGCCCTCCTGCCGAAGGATTGAACTAACACAGTGAATTGGGCCTCTGTATGCGGGAAACCCAATTGCCCTGTGCTTTAAGTTTATGTTTGCTGCAAAAACAGATACAAATCATTTTAACTATACATACTTTGGGCATTCTCACATTTTAGTTTGTTTAACTTCCCTTATGTAGTTGCGCCTTTTAAAATTAATCCCTTGAAGTCTTTTCCTCTTTATTAAGTTGAAATGTGAAAACAACCAGTGGGTATAATTTTCAAAAGTGCTTAAGTGACTTAGGAACCTAAGTCCTGTATTCAAAAGAGACTTAGGTATTCAGGGCCAGATTTCAAATGTATTTAGACACCTAAAGATGCAGACAGGCATCTAGTAGGATTTTTTAAAATGCCTAAGCATGTTCGGTACCTAGGTACCATTGACTTCAACCCCACTTGGCACCTACTGACATCTTTAGGCACCTAAATCTGGCTATGAGACATAGGCAATTTTGACACCAAAGTGACTTTGGCACTTTTGAAAATGTTACCCATTTTTTAAACTAAAGCAAATATGTAAACTTCTTGTAGTTTATATAGTATTGCTAATTAAATACCAAAAGCCCCCTTAATATTTTAACAACAGGATAGTTATTAAAGAAGCTCACAAAAGCCAGGAAATCCTAAGATGCAGAGTGCTTTGCCCTCATTTGTGTGTGTGTTTTTTATTAAGTATTTTTTCCCCCAAATCAGAAATCTGTTCTGTATTGGAGATCAGCAATATAAATCTCATTGAATCTCTACCCAAAGAAATGGGCTCATTATGATGCTGGCCAAGGCTAACTTGTGCCTGCCTGTGGATGTCCTGCCTTGGGTGTCATTTCCACCTGGTAGAAAATGTATTCACTTTGAAGTTTATTGCTACCGCTACCTGGGCAACTATTTTTCAAATATATTTTTAATGTCACCATTCATTCCACTTGTGTATAATGAACAGAGATTGTCAGAATACCAGATCTCTCTTATGTGCAAACCTTTTGTGGATAAACACTAGAAATCAATTCTATAGGCAGTGATATAAAGTTATATATGCATCTGTCATCTATCAGGTACATATATGTCAAATATTGGTATTTTATTAGAATGTTTATCATTCCCGCTAAGGTCTTCACAGTATCTCTTTGGTATGTATATGTATTTCAGTGAGATTCAGTAGCACCTCAGAGTTACGAACACCTCGGGAAGGGAGGTTGTTCCTAACTCTGAACAAAATGTTATTGGTGCTTTTTCAAAAGTTTACAATGGAACGTTGACTTACTACGGCTTTGAAACTTTACAATGCAGAAGAAAAATGCTGCTTTTAACCATCTTAATTTAAATGAAGCAAGCACAGAAACAGTTTACTTACTTTGTCAAATCTTTTTTTTTTCCCCTTATTTTTTTTAGTAGTTTACATTTAACACAGTACTGTACTGTGCTTTTTATTTTTATTTTTTTGGTCTCTGCTGCTGCCTGTTTGCGTACTTCTGGTTCCAAATGAAGTGTGTGCTTGACTAGTCAGTTTATAACTCTGGTTTCATAATTCTGAAGTTCTACTGTATAGATACAGATATACTCTCTCTCTCTCTCTCTCTCTCTGTCACACATCCTAATGAAATATATATATACACATATCAAAGAGAGAGACTGAAAAACTTATATTAAAGGAGTACTAGCGGCTAATGATAAGAATTTTAGTAGGACACTAATATTTGGCCTTTGAGTTCAGAACTCACTACTTACAATCAAAATCATTGTCAGACACGACAGCTTTCCAGGAGCTCAAACTACACTTTTATTTTCTGTCTCAGCTGTCAGCATTAATGATGATTCCAAATAGCTCTTCATTACAATAAATATATTAGGCCAAATTCTGATCTCTGATACACTGGTGTAATTGAGCAACAGAGTCACTGGTGTTATTGTAGATACTCCAGATATACACTTGTATCAGAGAGATCAGACTTTGGACATTCACTATGAGAGATTAGCTTCTAGTACATCTGAACCTGAATGTTTGCAAAGAAAAGTTGTGTCCACGTAATTAGAGTCAGGAGACAATACATTGCTGGCTGTGGGCTTTTTTTCAAGTATTCCTATAGGCTCAGCAAGAAGGCAAAACTATTGCCTATTCTTCACATGTCTATTTGGGACCTTTTTCTTTGCATTTTATACAGTAGGTCAGTCGTGGTCTATCTCTCAGCCCATTACCAGTGGCCTCTGGTCTGGAGCAAAATTCAACAAGTTGAAAAAGAGAGAGAGAGAGAGAGAGAGAGATCACAACAGAGTGAATTAAAAGCCAATATTTTGGGTGCTGTTCCTATAAGAGCCGAAGGTTCTAGAAAATCAATTACAATTTTTAGAGTGCCATTTACTGCTGATTAACTCAGCCACACTGGGGAACTACACAGAAGAAGCCCACCTTCTAAAGAGCATCGTGTGTTAGTGCTGACTCAAGCAGGCAGCTGACTGAAGTGATACAGCTGAACACCTGCCTTGAGTTAAAAAATAGACAATCACAGGAATACAAGACAGAAAAGACCTGTGGTCTCACCCAGCCCACCTCCTGCTTGTCAGCAATATGCCATAAAGCATGTTTTCTATTAGTATTTTGTCCAGGCTAGTATTAAATGTCCCAAATGAATGGCCTTTAACCGTCTGTTGAAGTGATTGAAATGATGGCAGCACTATGTTCCAGAAAAAGTGATTTAAGTCTCATGCCACCATTGTATGGGATACAATTCCACCACCTACTGCATCTTCTTGTCAGGATGCTTTGCCTGATACCAGCTCAACTTTTCCCCTTCTGAATTTCATCTCATGAAGATTAGGAATGGTCTCAAGTGCCCAGTGTTGACAGTTATAGGGTATACAATTCCCTACTTATTTAAGTAGCTCTTCTCTGAACTGCTTCTTGCTTGTCAAAATCACCCTGTGACACCCAGAAAGTAATGCAATGAAGCTATACTGATTTACACCAGCAGGGGAGCTGGCTCAAGAGTCTAGGTGCAATTGTTCCAGATCCAGAGGAAGGAGGGCTCCTTTTGGCTGACACTTGGACTTTCAGAGTCTGAATTCAGTGCTAACCAAATTTAACTTCAGGAAGCTGCTTAAAGAGAGTTCTGGTCTTAGAATTAAAACAATGTTTCAGCGATTCCATATACTCAAAGGCATAAAGCCATTTTGACCAACAGTTACCTTCATACGAGAACCTGAAGCCTGAAATCAGATTCCTGAGGTAAATTCAAACTTGCCCTTTAGAACACCTAGTTCACTAAGATAGCCCATTGGTCATTTGCCTCAGCTGCTTGCCTCAGCAAACATATCCCAATACTATACAGTTCCACCATATCTTTGAGAGATGACTAACCTAATCTCTAAAACAACCGTGGGCCTGAAACCCAAAATTTCCACATTGTTGACCTTACCAGGAAAAACATCAGGCTGTGTTTCTAAGTTTTCCATGCCTCAACAATATAGATAATATCACCTAGGTTACCATGGGCATTTGCCATTATACTGTCATTCATAGCAACACATAATACGATTAACATCAAAGCCATGGTCGTGAATTATATTAATTAATAGTTAGACTGTAAATATTTTAAGTACCACGGATAGCCAGAGTCACTGCTGGACTCATGAAAAGAATATTCAGTTTTCAACAGCACCTTGCTCTTTTCTCCATTTTGTTTTTATCATTTGTATTTTGGTAATGCCGAGGCGCCCCAGTCATGGAGCAGGACCCCATTGTGCCATATGCTGTACAAATATAGAACAAAACAGTCTCTGACCCATACAGCGTATTTTTGGGGCTCAAAAAGTTGCAGGACTTACAGTAGCTGAACCCTGTATCTTTGAGGTTTGCCCACCCTGCTGATAAAACACCACCTCCCTAACACAGCAACCTCCTGGCCATAGCAATAGGTTTCCTTTTATATATAACACTTGTGTCGGATGCAAAGTACCTACGTGATATCTTGCCCTAGTTATTCCCAGGTTAAAGGGCACGGCATTTTCTCTACTCCTCAGTCACAGCCTCCTCTCTGGCCCATTCCTCTGCGATTTGCTATAGCGGGGGTAGTTACAGAAAAACACCACTGTTTTTTGTTTTGTTTTTTTAAACACCACTACAAGGATGGAGTACTTATTTATTTGTCCTGACTCATCCATCCAGAACTCTCATACCCCTCCCCACAGCCCTTAGTCGTGGACTTTGAAACCTTTATTTACTTGCACTGGGAAAAACAAGAAAAGAAAAGAAAAAAAAAGGAACAAACTGTTTCTGTGTTTTTTATGTATTTCTCTCCTCCTCTGCTCTCCCTCGTCCTCCTCCGTCACTCACACAATTTGGGGTCAAGGTGTAGGGCTCTTCTTTGGGTGTTCAGACCATGCTCACTTTTATGAGAAACAGTTGACTCTTCCCTAACCAGGAGCATCTTTTAAACCTCTTTAGCCCCAGTGAAACATGTATCTTGTTAGGAAACACTTAGCTCCTTTATCTGGGGACACACAGTACAGCAAATGTTTTGCTCCTGGGTGCCTGCTCTATACACTGCTGGAACACGCTCAAAACTATGATCTAATAAAAACCACAATTCTGCTCCCCTTCCAACACCAGCTACCCTCTAAATATGGAAGTAAGTCTTCAAAGAGACCTAGTCACTGCTTCTCTCTGTGTGTTGACAATCCTTATAATTAAGCTCCCCAAGTTTCTATCACAGTTTTGCCTGCTCTCCCCAGCATAAATAGAAACAATTCAAGAAAATAATCCAGTGTCCTTTGTATTTGCCTTCCCAAATCTCAGCCAGCAATCATGTATTTGCAATGCCTCACATGCCAACTGAACCATCCTGGAAACAGACAGAATCTGGTCCAAGATTTTTAGAAATGAGTCAAGTTGTCATGGCTTTAATACCCAGTTATCTGTTGTTTCATCATTTCTGATATCTTTGTAATTTCGCAGCAATGACAGATCTCAGCACCTCTGTGCTCGAAGGTATTAACTGGATTAGACATATGGTCTCACCATTCTTAAAGCATGCCTTCCCTCTCTGTGATGCATAAGGGTTTGGAATATAGCTTTTTCAGAACAGTAATGTAAAAATAATACAATGAGAGAGTCAAACAACACCCACACAATGGGACTTGCACAGTCATTGGCACTATGATTCCTAAGGACCAAAGGCCGAATTAATAGCGCTATTACAATTCCTACGGTGAGAATGGAACACCAACAGTAGCAATTGTATTATCCTGGTATAGAACAATTAATTATGGGAAGTAGGAAAAGTTAAATAATTCAAAATTTTTGCAGTATTGAAGTCAATGGAAAGCCTCCAATGGACTTCAGATCAGGCCCTTAAGCAGTGTATTTCTATAATGATTTTATTTCTCATAAAAAACATCGTCAGGACATTCCCTATTAACCTAAAAAAATCTTGCAACTGCCTGCAGTGATGGAAAGCTTCTGACTGTTGGAAGGAATGAAAAGAGGTGGGAATCATATTTATGAATCATGTATAACCAGAAATGCTTAGGCCTGTGGCAGGTTGCACATGGCAGCTTTTCAGGACCAGACACATCATTATCACCGCTTTTGGTTTTGAGAACCAAAAAAGTTTCTATATATAAAGAGCTGAGGGGAGGGACTGGGACTTTGTTCCATATTGGGGAGGGATGGCAGGCAAAAATGTGCCATGTGGCTGTACTCCACTGATGGGCAAGTGGGAGAATTTGCTTTCCCCCCCCCCAGATAGAGAAGTCTGTTTACAGATAAGCTCAGCATCAATATTTTATGTTCATGATGATCGATTGGCACAAGGTTTTGCTTGTGAAAACTTTGTGTAATGTTATATTTTGTAGAATGCCATGGGACTGAGTAAATAGTCTATGGGCAGAGGGATCAAATAGGTCCAAGGTTTCAAAGAATGTCCTGCCTTGAAATAAAAAAGGGTGAACCCAAAGGAGTGGGAATAGTGCTAGAATTACTCACAACTACAATCTGAAGAAAAAAGAGTCTAGGTTGATCAGTCCCTTAAGGCAGCAAGCAAATTTAGTCTCGCCACCTCCCTGACACAGGAAAAATTGTGTCACTGATATTCTTGGCAAGCGGCAGGATTCAGCAAATATGAGTTCATTTGGTTTTGATTCCCCATTGGACTTCTATAAGAGAAGTTCTCTGACATGCACAGAAAAGTGGAGCATCATTAAATTCAGCAGTGGTTAAAAATATTCCACTGGATCACAGCCATACCCACTTTAAAAAAAAAAAAGTATGTAAAACCGAGGGACTGCAAAAATCTTGTTGTAGCGGAGTTGGTCCCAGGATATTAGCGAGACAAGGTGGGTGAGGTAATATCGGTTATATCTCCTACTAACAGAAGTCGGTCTAATCAAAGATACTCCCTCACCCTCCTTGTTTCTCGTAGATCTTTGTTGGTGTTTGTGAGGGATTGTACTTAACTGCTGCAGGAATCTGACTTAAGAAAACAGCTCCTGACTGATTTGACTGGAAGTGTGTTGTACTGGTTTTAAAATGCTCAGTGGCAGGACAATAGCATCATTTGCTGCAGATGCGAGATGTTCTGAGGCGCAGTCCTTCCACTGCAGGGTGGGTGTAACACCCATTGGGTCCAACAGACAGGAAATTCAGGCCCCTAGCATTGAACTGAGATGTCAAACCCTAAACCATGCATCTAGTTTGTCTCCAGGAAAGCTGCTTTCCAACAGTCCCAGGCAGGAGTAAGCTTTCCTGAGAGAGGTGGAGTGGTAAAAATGGACAAAGGACAAACTAAGTTTGTTTAAAATGCAGTTAGTTCCTGTCCAAACTTTTAATGAAAAAGGGGTTTCTGTGGAGATAATTCACTAGGACTTTATTTTTAACAGTCAGATGCAATGCCTCCCCATTTCATATATTTGTCTCCTTTGCAGACTGTGTGTGTCATCTTTATGAGTGCTCAGCTTTGGGCCAACTCTACTCCTATTGACGTCAATTTATCAGTGACTTCAACGGGAGCAGACTTAGGCCAACAAGGAGCACTTCCAAAAATCCCACCTTGAACTGCACTAAATGTGAACTAAATAACTAAGTGGGTGGCATGCTCTGGAGATACTTTGTATTGACCTAGCCTACAGCACTGACCTAGTGACAGAACTGAATTAGAGAATTATTTTACCCTGAGTGTTCTGTTTTCCTGTAGCCTAGATTCTAAATAATGTGCTTGAAAATGGAGAGTTTTTTTAACCCACTTGATAAGCATAGTTGCTCTTCTTAACATTAATGGGAGTTATATGAACACAAAGGGTTTGAATATTCTCTTGCTTTCTGTCCCTAGAACTCCTATGGACATCAAAGGCAGTTTTTGCCTATGGAACAAAGGATGAAAATGCCCATAAACTAGACTCCATCTTGCAGTCTCAGTTGCATTATACAATGCGTGCTTGTGAGCAAATCTATAGGGAAAAAATATAATCACTCTCAACAATGTGGATCTTAATGATAAATGGTAGGAGGATACTACCATCATGAGTCAAATACTGTAGTCCATCATCAGTGCTTATTCAGGCAAAATTGCAATTGAAGCTTGAGTAAAGACTGCTACATAAGATTGTCACTTGCTCCACAAACAAAAAACAAAAAAATCAGACTACACCTCTACCCCAATATAACGCAACCTGATATAACACGAATTCGGATATAGCACGGTAAAGTAGCGCTCCGGGGAGGCGGGGCTGCGCGCTCCGGTGGATCAAAGCAAGTTCGATATAACGCGGTAAGATTTTTTGGCTCCCGAGGAAAGCGTTATATCGGGGTAGAGGTGTATTACTGAAAACAAAGGTTACCCTGTGTCTTGGATGACTTTAGTGCACTATCTAATCCGTGGCTGATCACCTCTCTTTCAAGGCCTGGCTGGTGCAACTGCTGCAAATTAAAATCTTTCTGGATTCATTGCAGTTTATGAGAATCTTATGGCATACAATTTAATTTAGGGACCATGGCCCGGATTCTCTGTTGCCTTGCATCTGGCATAGTCAGTTATGCTGGTGCAAAGTGGTTGTAGAACACATCCATTGGTGTAAGGGCCTGATCCAGAGCCCACTGAAGTCAATGGGAGTCTTTTATTGGTTCCAATGGCCTTTTGATCAGGCTCTGGGGGATTGGAGAATTCTAATTGATAGTGTGTTTGCATAAGTGTCAATAAGCACAATGGATGCAAGACGGTGGAGAATCCAGCCTTGAATCACAGATTCAATTAATCTGAGTATGCAGAAAAGGCTGAAAAACAACCCTTGCCTTTTTACCTTTAAAAAATGTCTGTGTCTGCATCTGTAGTCTTATCTTTATCAGGTCCACAGGCCCACCAATTCCTACCGAGACAACCCCTGCTACCATGCTGGCAACGATCAAGTCCGAGAGTGCCGGGGCATGGTTAGAATCTCCATAGCGCTGCTGGCTAATAAACCTTTGAGTATTGCTGAAGACACCAAACGTCACCGAGCTGTAGACCGCAATGCTGGCCAATGGGAAAGACATTCCTTTAAAGAATCCAACAACCTAACCATGAAATAAAGCAAGAGTTAAAGGAGATGTAGCAATTTGATTATTTTTCTTAGTTGGTCACACTTCACAGTAAACCTTAGAATTCCATAGCCCCTGTGTGACACATGACCAGAAATGGTTAAGCATCCTGCAGGCTAAATAATCCAAATTCAACCCTTAAAAACATATGGGTAGATAATGTTTGTGTTTTTGTGTGTTTACATATATATTGGTAGAGGTCAACAATGTAATCAAACAGTCCCTGTCTATGCTGTATTCTGTTAATTCAGAGATTAAAAGGACATCTTAACATTTAAATGAACTGTAAACATAGGTGTCAAGTATCAGGGGTGTCCGTGTTAGTCTGGATCTGTAAAAAGCAACAAAGAGTCCTGTGGCCCCTTAAAGACTAGCAGATGTATTGGAGGATAAGCTTTCGTGGGTGAATACCCACTTCATCAGACGCATGCATGATCTCTTTGAAATGTATAGCAAATTGTCTGCGAATGGTGGAAAAACAGACAATTGCTTTATGTGGATCTGTATGAATAATTACCAGCGATACTTAGGAAATGAGTGTCTAGTGTTCTCTGAGGGACTCCGAGCTATCACAAGAGGGCCTGAAACTGAATAAAAAATGGCTTGGGTCCTGATCCTGTCATCTCAGATCTGCTTGAGGCTTCATGCAGGGGAAGCCTAAGCCACAAGGACTGAGATCCCTGTGCTGACTGGACTGCCCTGAATACAAACATTGGACTATAACCTATGAACGATTTATGAAAGAACTCTTTGCATCTACAAAGCTCACCATCTCTGCTGTGAATCTGAAGCTCAAGATTGTACTCATGTCTGTATGTATACTGATCTTTTAACCTATACTCCCCTTCTTTTCTTTCTAAATACATTTTAGTTTAGTTAATAAGAATTGGCTGTAAGCATGTACTTGGGTAAGATCTGGAATATTCATTAACCTGGAAGGTAATGTGTCCGCTCCTTTGGGATTGGTAGAACTTTTTTTATATGATGAATATGATTTTCAGTAATCTTCATTTTTGACTTGGGTGTCTGGGTGGAGGCCTGAGGCTGGGTTACTTTAAGGGAACTGTGTTGTTGACTTCTGAGTAACCAGTGAGGTATATTAGAAGCTGTTTTGTGCTGGTTTGGTAAATCTAAGTATTGGAATATCCACCAGCTTTGGGGATTGCCTGCCCCATTCTTTGCAGTTCACCCTAATTGAGTGACCTCAGCTGGCTCCCCTGGGATTCCGGACACACCCTGCTATACTTGACTTTGCATATCTCCACTTCAATTCAGTTCCCCAGGAATTATAAGTCTGCTTTTGTATGATGTGGGAAATTGATCACTGAATACTTCTCTTGTCATTTTTTAATCTATGTTTTCTTTGATCCTTTCATAGAGCTAATTGGATGTGAAATGTAATGCCCTAAGTAAGTTCTCAACAATTCTTTAACTAATGTCATGTCAGGCTAGCTAGCTAAAACCCAAGATGGATGTCAGACCAAAAATGCAAAAACTGAATAACAGATGTTTCTTGGAGCAGAGCAGTTGCACATTGTAGTTGAAACAATACACTTAGAAAATGGAAGCAAATTTAGGACGCTGAGAAATTACTTTCAGTGCTTTTCACAGATTATGCAACATAAGGGAATATTCTTAATACAGCAAAACTGGAGACATAGGAAAGTACTATAACTATGTAGGGCCAAATTCTTTCCTGGCATCACTCCATTGGAGTCAATGAACTGACACCAGCAGAGAATTGTGCCTGTAAAACTTCCAGGAAGAGGTACTGCAGCTTGCAAAATGGTGAACATGGGAAGCTGAACCACGCACAGAAGAAAAGAGAGAGTCATGAATAATGATATGTTAACTATGCTGTACACAGAAAGCAGATGGTGGTACACTGTTAGTTCAGCATTATTAACCTTTCATTAGGTTGCCCCCTCTCCCCCCCATGCATTTATTATCATAAATTATACAGGTGGAAAACTTGCCCATATCCTAGGGAATATCCTGCCACACTATTCATCCTCATTAAGGCAAAACTCCCATTAAAGTGGATTAGACAGCACACTGAAGATACAGCAGTGTAACACCCAAGGTAACCTTGTTTCTAATAATCATTTGGCTTAATGTTTAATGGGAGTTCTGCCCAAGTAAGGAATGCAGGATCGGACCATAAGTGTCATAAGACCTAAATCTGTGTCATGCTTATGAGCCAGTTTCTGTACTGATTTACAGCCAGGCCATTCAGTTCACTTCCATGTTGTCACATGGGGACTAAGTCAACACAGAACTTGGCCCCAAATTACCTTCAACAGGCCTGGCTGGCTGTTCTAACAATGCAGAATCTGAACAAGAGGGCGACACACCTTAGCGCTTGTCTACAGGGTGCAGTACGGCACACCAGGGTGGCGTGAATTCGAATGCACACCAATGTGTTGCATACTCGCTGGCCCACGTAGAACTGACTGGCGCAAACTAAAAGTTCCCTATTGTGCATTTAACTTAGTATTGTTTGAAACATGCATTAGGGAACTTTTAGTGCATGTCAGGGCCAGTGACTGTGCAACATGTTGGTGCGCATTAGAATTCACGCCTCCCAGGTGCGCATTAGCTCCCCATGTAGACAAGAGTTCGGCTTAGGAACAATTTTGGGTTTCTCAGTAAGAGTAACAAGAAAGGATCTTAGTCTGCTCCCAATGAAGTCCAGGGAAGTTCTGTGAGTGAGGTCAATAGGAGCAGGATTGGGCATAAAGTCACAGTCCACTTCTGCACTTCCAAAGTTTAGGCTCTAGGTCGGAGCTGTGTCAGAAGAGGTTGTTTGCCCTTCCACTCTCAAGCAGGTTTATTCTGGGGAAACCAGTGTTCCAGAAATAAAAAGGAAATTAAAAGTCATACACACCTGTGTCCTGCCTACTCAAAGGGGCTCAAAATCCTTAGGCACTTCCTTGAGGAGGAAGAGTCTCTCTCATAGGTCAGGGTTGGCTGGGGCAGAGGAGAAGGACAGATGCTTGCAGTTCTTCACATAAGGGCTTTGAATGCTATTGCGCTGAATGCATGCTGTTTTGTAATCACTTTTAATATCTTTTTTATTTTCTATTCTGGCATGTTATAGACAAACCAAGGTACTTACACTTTCATTTCTGTACACGGTAAGGATACAATTAAGTGTATTTCCATATCCTTGTCCAGCTTGTAAACGAGTCTGCAAAATGTATTGATGAAATGTAATTGAAACAATGCGTTTTCAGTTCAGTGGAAGCTCTGCTATGCAAACAATGCACATTTTGATTTGACAGTAAATTATGGCTTTGCTCCTAGGACAAATGGGACAATAAAGAAAAATAAACATGTAGTAGCCCAGTTTGCACTGTGCCAGTGGCAGATCCAAACAGAACCTTAGAAGTTCGGGGCTCTTTGCTTCATCCAGAATCCATGATTGTCGCACTGGTTTGAAATATGGAAAGGCAAGGCCTCCCAACTCTGCACAGAATCATTAGTACGTGTTATGCAGAATAATATCATTTGCAAACGAGACTATTAGCTACCCAGGAATGCAGTGGATTCTCTGTTACTTGAAGTCTTTAAATCAACATCAGATAGCTTTCTGAAAGATTACTGTACGTCCAACCAGAAGTTATAGTTTTTAATGCAGGAATCACTGACTAAAATTCTATGGTCTGTGTTATTCAGAACTACAGATGAGACCATAATCATCCCTTCTGGCCTTATGTTCTATTAATCTGTCAGTGGAAACTTGACTATGATTTTAAGCCTTTTGTTATTAGACTTCAGGGAGTGTAGCAGGTAGTTCATTCATTTACCTTGTGTTCTCTGTTAAGTTAGTTGATATGCCTGAAAGAAACCTTGAATAGTGGGAAAATTTACCCTCTCCTCCAAACCCCAAGTAAATGGCAGGAGAAGAAAATGAGTGCTTGGTTTCAGGAATTCAGACTCTCAACATGTGTTAGGTCATGGTTCGAGCAGGAGTGAGGGACCATCCGCCGAATTGCCGCCGCACAGCTGGATGTGCCGCCCCTCTCCGAAGTGGCCGCCCCAAGCACCTGCTTGGTAAGCTGGTGCCTGGAGCCGGCCCTGGTTCCATGGCTTCCACATCAGCATATGTGTTTGAATCGGTGCCACAAACCTTAAACTCCCTCCACCAGGGATTGTGGCCACTAGATCGTTGATCCAATGACCTTGCCCCATCTGCAACCTAACTCTCATTGCTGGTGGAGCTGGAGCAAAGCCCAGCTGCACTTTATGCAGGGTGTGCAGGGTACCTCACCTACCTGCTCTTTAGCTACCCAGACCTGCAGCAGTTCTCCTGCATTGGGTGCCTTCCGTGGCCCTGACAATGCTAGGTGAATTTCACGCTAGATGTCTAAATATTAAATGGAGTCAAGGCAATCATTCCAAGCCCCAGAAATATCTAACTTCTAATGAAAAAAAGGTGTTTTATACATTGCTCCAAACCAAGAGGATTTTTGTTTCTGGAAAGAGATATTTAAATGTTTTCTAAAAGGACCAACAGCAGTAATAAAACCCAGCACATTAACCATGACAAACCCTGTATTGTTTAACAGATATTTCACCTCTCACATATATAGCTCATCCATCAAGCTGCTTTCATGTTTTTAATAGAAAAAAGTCATTGCAATCAACAGACAAATTTTCTTAGCTTGCGGGTTTATTTTAGGGGAAATTCAGTCCCGGTTTTTTATCCTAATATCAAGAGCACTACCTCTTTTCCCCCTCCGTAAGTGGCTGCACAGAAGGATGGCCTAAATGACCCTGTAGTGTTTGCATCCATCCCTTAAATCTACGATGACATTTTCCCCCTTGTCCTGACCCCTCTGCACAGCATGTCCTATCTCTAGCTATGTGCATCACCATATCCTGCCCCCAACGTATAGTCACAGTGCAATAATCTTTAGAATGGACACATCAGTAGGCGGTTTGGTAGGATCTCTCTGAATAACAGAACCAGGACAGTTTCCAAACTGTATTTCAGAAAAGAACAGTCAGCTACATATAACTGGCTTTAGTGGAGCTACACCATTTTATGCCAGCTAAAGATCTGGCCCAATTGTTATTTACAACATAGAGAAAATTGGAATGTGTGACCCTGGCAAGTTCTTCAGTTGGAAAGAGGTTTGAAAAAACAAACAAAAGCTTACATGAGTAATGTATCTCCTATCCCGGAGCCTTAAAATTCCACTTGCTGTTCCTTACAGAAACTCAGTGTCATTCAATAGCAGTCACTCTGCAGTGCAGGAAATCTGCAGGAGAGCTAGAATTTGAAACCTCCTGCAGTGTAATGAGATTTGCTTCTGGAAATAAGGAGGGATAAAAGTATTCAGCAAAGCATCTTGTTACACTGAGGCTGCTCTGACCGACCCCAAGATCCGGGAGCACATCGCTGATGTAAAGATCCCATTGTCCCACACCACTATAACACTTGCACTTGAGGGCAGGTCAGCCAGACTTGAGGATCAGGGACATCATCATCGTATGCTTAAAAGGCAGAAGTGTTTTTATACACGCTAAAGGTTCGTCATGGTGCATGAATGCAAAGAATCATATTTTCACTTGGAGGACTCATACCTGCATGGCCAGTGTGTGAAACTGGCTTGTGATATATAAGAGAGAAGAAAGCAAACTACTGTCTGTGAATAAACAAATTCATTAATTAAAGCATTCCTCAAAAGCTGGCAGTTAGTCTGACTTGGGTAACTGCAATGGCATGTGAATACAACATTCAATGTGCTTCTCTCCACGGGAGTGAGCCGTGAAAGCACTGCAGGCATCGCCGTTAAAGCTTATTCTGAGTTGAAACGGACTCCAGTTCAAAATGACACTGATGTCATGCCCTTGAAGAAGCTGGATAAGTGTGTTCTACTGCTGCGATGCATATAGTGGCTTATTAGAAATGAAAGCCACCTAAAAAAGACAAAAGTAATGGTCACTAAAAATAAGCAGAGGCAAGGAAAAGCAACCAGTGGCCTAACAGAGATAACACAAGTGAAAGGGAATGTCCCAGCAAATGACTAGAGAAGGCTCTCTCTTTAACAGAGACTTAGGCCTGGTCTACACTAACCCCCCAATTCGAACTAAGGTACGCAACTTCAGCTACGTGAATAACGTAGCTGAAGTCGACGTACCTTAGTTCGAACTTACCGCGGTCCAGACGCGGCAGGCAGGCTCCCCCGTCGACTCCGCGTACTCCTCGCGCCGAGCAGGATTACCGGAGTCGACGGCGAGCACTTCTGGGTTCGATTTATCGCGTCCAGACAAGACGCGATAAATTGAACCCAGAAGTTCGATTGCCTGCCGCCGAACCAGCGCGGTAAGTATAGACAAGCCCTTAGAATGGTCCTTTCTTTGGGTTCTAGTTTAGAACCCTGACTTTGGACAACCATAAGGAGATAGCTTATGCAAGCTGCTCCTGCCAGCATGGAGAAAGATGTGAAGCCATTGGTTAGAATAAACAAAGTGAACAGACCAAAAGGGGATAATTGTGAATTTGAAGGTGCATGTGGAGTCCTCCCCTGACATGAGCATAGAAGCAGCTTTCTAGTTTATTCTCTGGTTTCATTAGTGAAATTGGCTTTTGTCTTGGAGAAGCCCCAGAATCTCGACTCACATGCAAAAGCTGAGAACAGCAACAGCACGTAAATACTACTCAAGAAGGTTCTGGCGTATAAAGGGTAAAATGAAAGATGTGGAGTGAAAGGTGAATGAAGCTAACCATTTATAGACATGACCTCATAATACAAAGGGAAAAACTTGCCTGGATTTTAGGGGATGGGGAAGGGAAAGGAACTGCTGAACCAAGTGTTTGGTTTGTTTGTTGAGAATTGCCATGCTGGTAACTTAATATACATGAAATAACGCACGTATTTACCCATGTTTCTCATCTCCCAGAAAGAGGAAACCTTCATTCCTTATTCCACTGGACACTATGTTCATAGGTAAACACTGTTCAGATGCTCACTTTGTAGTTCAATATTGGTTAGATTCCTTCCCCCTCTAATTTGGAAAAGTAACAAAACTGCCTACTTGGTATTCCCAAACGACATCCAGAACCAAATGTAACAGAGGTGTCAGCTTGACAGTTGTCTTTATAAGCACTGAAAAATGCACTACTTGTTACTTGGCAGTTCCTGAACAAACAGAACTCAAACACTCCCAACAACATACATCGTCAACTTCTATCACTCACACACTAGGATGACATCAAAGCCATATAGTGCCAGACTTAAAGAAAGACACTTCTCTGGGATGTAAGCAAACAGTATTTCCAGAGGAATTCATAGACAACATGGCCAATACACAATTCCTGCTCTACATACTCGGCTCTGAATATTGGCTTCCCAGTGTCATTTGTTAATGCACTGGCACTGCTTCTGCAGTCAGTGACACATTTCAGTAGTCAGCACCATGCTTCCCTGAAGAAACCCAAGTACCTCAAGCAACAATGATCCTCAGTCTGATGGTCTCTAACTTCTTAATAAACACAAGATCAGCTATCCTGGAGTAAGAGCACAAGGACTATTCGCTGAACTTCTCAAAGCCCTATTCCTGTCCATTTTCATTGCAGTTTGGCAACCAAATCTCTTAGCTGGCTTTGAAAAATAGCAGGAAAGTAGAACAAAATGTGCCATCATGTAGCCACATGTTGCACAGGTCCCTGCACAGGTTTGCAGGAGCTGGGAAGAGGATGCAAGAAGCCCTCCTACCCACCCCACTTCCCTTCCCCGCTCCCCACCCATGCCCATGCATAGGGGCTAGATTCTTATTACACAGCACTGTGATTGCTCCAGGGTACTAGTGATATCAGCATTAGCTTCCCTGCAAAAGAGGAAACCTGGCCCAAATTCCCATAGCAGCATGTGTGAGAGGGAAAATCTGCTTCAACCTGTAGAAAGGGTATTGCATAGGCCACTTTGGTCTACACTTCCCTCAGAGTTCTCAGAGCCACTGTTCTTGCCCAACAAGGTATGTAATCCTCTCTCAGCCAGTCGTGCACCTCAGTGACTACTCTGCAGCTCGTTGGGCTGTAGCAGTGACTATGGTCCTCCATGAGTGCCTGATCCATGCAGTTCATTTTGGATTCTTGACACACCCCTCCCCTGCCCAGCCACAACTCCTCCACGCAGTTGTGGAGATAGCCACCATGGAACATTTGATGAAAGTGCTTCAGAAGCTTTGTGGCCTGACCATCCCCGCTGCAGAGCCATGGTATTTCTACTGGCTACTGGGCCTTGCACTCAGATACAAGTATAATGACCTCCACTGGTGGTCATCAGCCGGGTTGGAATCCTGGCCTAAAGCACAGGCTTCTTCCACTTGAGTTGAAGGAGTAAATCCACTAGCTAGCAGCAGTAGCAGATGACTATCCCCTGTAGGCCAGTCACAGAGGGGGATGTAGAACACACTTTGCCAGTGGAGCAGGAGAGGGAGTGGTATGTTCTTCTAAAGCTTCAATGACTAGAATAAAATACTAACCTGCCCCAATAGTTGTGTGTTCAACTCAACCAGCTTTATCTGTGTTAAAGACTATGCTGCCTTGTCTGCACTGCAGTATAAGAACCTGTTAACAAACATCTTCTAACACCACACCTGTAAATCCATCTAGAAAAAAAACCCTGATTTCCCTTGTAGGAAAGAGGATGATAGGAATGGCTATTGAATAACTGCAGCTCCTAGCAGCAGGATAGCTATATTTAGGGTGACCAGATGTCCTGTTTTTATAGGGACAGTCCTGATATTTGGGGCCTTGTCTTATATAGGTGCCAATTACCCCCCACCCTCTGTCCCGATCTTTCACCCTTGCTATCTGGTCACCCTAGCTATATTTATACTTTGTCCTTACAGTATTGCCAACTTTAGGAAAACCTTAAAAAAATACCTCTTCAGCAAAGACAAATACAGCTTGCCTTTTGCCCTTTGTAAACTCAACCCTTGCATGGGTTGATAAAGTATGTGCTGACCTTGTCAGTCTGCAGAACATTATATAACGGGTAGTTTTCACTTTCAGTTTTGATCCCATCCAGGGAATTTATCTGATAATCACATTTTCATATCCTCCTTTTGAAAGGTCTTTCAATAATTTGTCTGTGTTAAAATCAGAGGTGAGACAAAGAAAGAAAAACACAGAGAAATATCACTAAATGTGGGTGTATTTTTCTCAGGGGTTAAATTTAACCATGGGCAGGAAGCTAGTGTGGGGGTTGTTTGCTGGCCCCCTGCAAAGGGATGAATCTCACAATCTGTGTAAGTGAAAGTGCGGCTTAAAATATTTTACCTTTACTGTGTCCAGAGGATGCCCCACAATTACACTTGCAGCTCCTGGGGATTAAAATAAGGTCATTAGACAAAACACAATTGGGTGAGTCAACTAAAAAAGGAGAGACTTTTGTAACATTTACCCAATGAAAGTGAAATCTGTGCCCTGTTGCATATGTGCTCCCCTCGGCCAATCAGAGCACTCGCCATCATTCTGCTCATTACCTAGTTGGTGAAAATTCACTCATCAGTAGAACCATGCAAATTGAGGGTAAATCTTGAAGCAATGATGTCAGTTGCAGAGCAGATGCACAGGGAGAATCGGCATTCCCTTTGCGAGATGGAGCTAATCTCTGAGCCAGATCCACAAAAGCCAACCCAGAGAGGTGGTGGTGGTGAGACCACTTGACATGAAGAGACCACTGTGCATGATTTACAGAGGATACTGCAGGCCACGGGCTGGAATAACATATGTGGAGGGGCTGTGGAGCTGTCCCATGCACCGTCTGCAACATGGAGGACAGATTTTTATACTCAACCTCTGCACTGTTCCCCATTCAAAACCTATTTTCTCTTAACCAGGTTTTGTGCGTGTGTGTTGGAGGCTGCGTGTGAAAATCTCGGTCATTCAATGGTGTCAGCTGACCGGGACAAGGGCGGTCTAGCCTCGTGATCAGAGCGGGCGTCAGACTTCATGGCTGGAGCAGATGTCAGGAACTAACAATTAGGGACAGAACTGGAGTCAGGAGTTGGAAGGTGGAGCCAAGAGTCGAGCACTAGATGCGGGAGCTGAGGGGCAAGTCAGAGTCGGTAATCAGAAGGCAGAGCCATGGATCAAACCAGAGGGCAGGTGCTGGAAACCAGAGCCGAGGATCAAGCCGTAGTCAGAAACCTGAGGCATGGGTCAAACCGGACGCTAGGACTTGGATAGCCAGAGTCAGTAGTCAGAAGCCAAAGCCATGGGTGAAGCTGAGGGTCAGGAACTGGAGCAAGCAGGGGAGCAAGCCGTCCAAAGGGGGGGCAGGACAAAGGCCAGGCTGGGTGGAAGGCAGGAGTAGCAAGAACAAGGTAACCCAGCAGCAGGCACAGTGGTGGCCGTGAGCACTGAGCAGCCAGCGAGCTGCTGCTGGCGTAAGAGCGGGCTTGCTCGCTCCAGCAGCCAATCAGTTAGCATGGCCAATGGTGGCTGGCCAATCAGGCACCCTGCTGCAGGCCAGCTGTACTGATGAGGCTGCCTAGAGACTAGCTCTGCTGCAAGCCCTGGCTCCTGACAAATGGCTTCATCGTTAGCTGACAGCTCGGTTGATCATTGGAATATTGCCACGTTACTGAGTTGTGGGAAGTCAGCCGGGGCCCTGCAATGCCCAGGAGAAACATTTCCATTATGGCCCATCGAAGGGAGAACAACAAGAAGTGGGAGGAGAGAAGCAAAGTGGGGGCAGAGAATAAGAATCATTTAAAAACTGCTCCAGAAGCTTAGCTCAGGATCACATGCATTCATGTACTTGATTTATGGGAGTAATTAGTACAATTGTGCATGAAAACTGTACGTGCAACTGGCAAATTTTATCCCTAACTGGCTATTTGCTCACCCAGTTTTCCTGCCCCCTTTATGCATGCGTTTGCAGTAATAGACATGGGCAAATTAGCCAAAATACATCACAACAGACACTCCAGTCTCCTCAGGTTTTGGAAATCAAGCCTCACCCTTTCTCGTGGTAATTTGGCAAAGATTCCAGTTTTTCCTGAATAAATGAGGACGTTGACCTGAACTGTTTAGTGGTCTGACACCCTTGTGTGGTGCCAATACAAAAGCCTCATGTGCCCTGTGTGGACATTAAAAATCCACGACAGTAGCACTTTTTGTAACAGTAGCCACCTGCTCTTAGCCAAAATTTCCTTCTCTACCCTGTTGTGTTGTCCACCTGCCAGCTGTCTTCCAACCCAGTGAGAGCTGCATTGTAGTGGTGCACTTTGGGATCTTTCTAGATAAAAGAAGCTCTCTAGAAGTGCAAGATACATCTGCAGGACCTTCTTCCTATACTTTCTAATTGAGATGGCACCTATTTTACAGAAGGCCAGAATCAATTCTTTCAGAAAACTGCCTGATCAATAATTCTAGTCTGATAGTGACAGTCAGTCCTGATAAGGCTATAAGATTATCAGGACTATCCACTCAGAACCAGATCTGAGCCTTTCATAAAAGGGTGTGGATTAATGGAGCCATCTGATTGGCTGGTGAGGATTCCCAGCTGTTTAAATCTGAGGCTGTATGCACAGGGATCTGAACTCAATAGGCAAACACTAGAATGCCTTTAGAAAACCATAATCTTATGTGTTGGGTTACAATATCATTTTACATATTTCTCAGCTAGAGACATTCAGCCTTGCAGGTCATGCACTTACCTCAGGAATGTGTAATGTAAAGATGACACCATAATGTCACATCCCACATCTCATTGCATATTGGTAGTCTTAGAACAGACAGATAAAACTGTGCGATGTTCTATTACTGCTTAATTGAAACTATCCTCTTTGCACAAATGTGGCAAACGACACATACAAACACAAACATGAATGAATGCGGACAACTTGATAAATGCATCCATCAATAGACTTCTTTTTTAAAAATGGACATACACACACCTATTTTTATATAACTCTGCTGTTACTGTCCCAAAATATCCCACCAGTGTTACTTACCTCCTATCCAACCAGCTACAAAATCTTCTAACTGAAGACTGCCCATGTTTTAAAACTGCGGGACAACTCCTATTCAAATAGTTTCTTGCAAGTTTGCAATTCTCATTCAATTTCTTCGGCATGTGCTGTTGAGGACTGCTTGAATGTGTCTCTTTGACTCTGTGATGTAGAAAAGTGACTCCAACACCCCCGGGTGTCCCAAAGGGATTGTAGTAAGAGTTTGTGTCTTTCACATGTTTCAGCAGTATTAAAACTGCAACAACTCTGACTCTAACCTCTCACACAGCCTGTCTCAAAGTGCCTCCAAAGCCCACTGTGACATCATTCCCCCAAACCTTAAAGGCACAGTACAACTAGAGCATAGGAATTTCCCCACGGGTTTTTTTTCTTTTAGAGATAAATGGGGAAGGTTACTGACTAAGTACAAATCATGCATTTTTTTCAGGTGAAATTACTTTGTGTTCTAACTGTTCCTTTTGAAAGAAGCATCTGTAAAAGGGATTTTATGTTACTGGCAATAATGATAGTTGATGATAATTGCATTTGAAAAGGTGGGGGTTTTCCAAAGACGTAATATTTTAAAAACATGAATTAATATGAAATTCTGGGTATGGCATGGAGTTAGGGCCATAGTATGAACTACTTACTTATGTCGGTGGGCAGATACTCACACATGTCACAATATAATAACAACAATACCTAGTTCTTATATAGTGTTTTAGTCAGTAGATCTCAAAGGAAAGTCAGTATCACTATTCCCATTTTACAGATGGGGAAACTGAGGCCAAGAGATCTGCCCAGGTCACCTGCTGGAAACAGAACTTAAGTCTCCTCAGTCTCAACCCTATGTGCTATCCACTAGGCAACACTGCCTCTTGTATGATACATAGCAGCATATGCTATCACAGTATGAGTAAAGGGTTCATACTGTGGTCCTTGAACGCTAGGGAAAGTGACTGTGATCCAGAATGCCAACTGATGTAAATAAGAGTAGCTCTATTGAGTTCAACACAGCTATGCTGAGAATCTGGCCCTCTAAGTACGGACTAAGACACATAGTATATCTATCCCGAGGGAAGTTGTACCTCTAGCAGTGGCGTAGCTGGCGGGGAGCAGGGGGAGCGGCTGCTCCCCCTGAGCACATTCCCCAAAAGTGGCGCCTTTTTAACTCACTCACAAAAAAACGCACCACCCAGTGTGGCGCAGTCTTCGGCGGCGGGACCTTCGCTTGCTCCGTGGGGCTTCGGCAGCATTTCGGCAGCGGGTCCTTTAGTGCCGCCGAAGACACGCGGAGCTAGTGAAGGGCCTGCCACCGAAGACCCGGAGTGCCGCCCTGTCAGTAAAAGCGCTGCCGGGTGAGTAAAAGCGCCGCAGCGGGTGCTGCCTTTTTTTGTGAGTGAGTTAAAAAGGAGCCACCCACTGCGGCACTTTTACTGACGGAGCGGCGCTCCGGGTCTTCAGCGGCAGGCCCTTCACTAGCTCCACATGTCTTTGGCGGCACTGAAGGACCCGCTGCCGAAATGCCCCCGAAGCCCCGCGGAGCAAGTGAAGGTCCCGCCGCCGAGGTGCCGCTGAAGACCCGGGTGAGTACAAGCGCCGCAGCAGGTGGCACCCCTTTTTCTGATCGCTCCCCCTGTTCCCTCCACCTGGCTACGCCACTGACCTCTAGGGCCTAATCTTGCCAACTTTTACGCGTATGAATGGACCTTACCCACCCAAGTAGCCCTGTTGACTTCGGTATTCCATACATGAAGCCAATGGGACCGTTCACACTTTAGGATTTGTCTACATAGGGACATCCAGGAAAATTAATTAGTTAAACTTCATTATATCCCTGTGTGGACACTGTTAATCAGAATTAAAGTGGCCTTAATTCTCAATGACAATGTTCACACAGGTGTTTAATGTCGTTTAACTAATCCACTTCAAAATCACACCTTTAGTTCATTTGGATTTAGTTCAATTTTCCTGGCTGCCCCTTAGAGACCAGCCCTTAATGCCGTTGCATAAGGAATACCTATGTGAGTAAGGGGTTGTAGGATAGGGCCCCTACTTAAACCTAAACTTGTTGGTATTGAGGAACAGGGAAAATGGAACTTACTTATATTCAGTCAACTAATAGCCAGGAAACTTTACTTAAGTACATTAAAAGCCAGGAACGACTGGATTAGGATTTAGGTGCAATAGGTCTGATTACAACAGTTGAATCTATAAACTCCAAAGTTAAAACATTAGGCATCCTGAGCTAAAGTGTTTTTCTTGACTCTGAACAAGTGAGATCTAAAGAGAGGACAAAAATGACAAGAACAAAGTGACCCTTCATGTACCACTATTAAGTCTGTGGGATGCTTTCTCAAGAAAGCACACCATGAGCCAGCCAGAAGGTCTAGGGCAGTGGTCCCCAACCTTTTCCGTGGGGCGCGCGCCAGAACACTAGCTGCCAAGGACTGCATTTCGGCGGCAGCGCTTCTTGACGTTGCCGCTTCTCGGCGGTTGCTTGTCCGGCAGCCAATAAGCGGGCACACATGGATGCCATGGCGCCCGTGGGCACCACGTTGGGGACCCCTGGTCTAGTGGGGGTGCCATGCTCTTGGCGGGGAGGGGGAAGAAAGTGAGAAAAGGGAATTTCCCAAAGGATTATCCCTCCCCCACCCTCAAAAGCGTTCTACACAATGAGATACTTTACACCATAATAGGCTAAATTTCCACTGGGACTAGGGCTGACTGGAAAATTTATCAAAACTCTTTTGACAGAAAGTTCTTTTTTTGCAATAAATTAATTAAAACAGGACACCTGAAAACCAAAATAATGTGGGTTTCAGACAAAAATTTTCAATATTTAAATTTTCGCTGGAAAAAAAAAAGTTTTTCAACCAGCTCTAATAAATAAAATAATAATAATAATATATAAATGGATACACATGTATTATTTTCATGAAGACCATTGAAAACCCTGGCCAAATGGGATAACCATTAAGAAGGATGTATGTATGATGAATTAGCCATGTCTTCTATTTAACTTAATGGAGTCACACAGTTAAATTTCCCCACCACATTTTGAATATTAAGTGTGAAATAGTTCCTGTTACTGTAAAATAGAATTGCAATCAGCTGTTATTCAGACTTGCCTGTAAATAACTTGGATATAGTTCAGGAAGAGTTGGGAAGCTAGCACTGAAATGGAAGAGGAGCTCAATTTCTGGAAATGTATCTCGGAACACAGTGGGTGCCAATCTATTTGCCGTGGGCTGGGCAGTTGACAGCACTTGGAAGAACTAGCCCGCAACCATGAATCAGATACTTCCCATGACTATTTCAAACCAGCCCTGGAAAAGGGCTGAGCTACCTGACAAAGAGCTAATTATAAAGAGTTGTAAAGTGGCTATCAGCAAAAAGTTAGGAGGGGATTCACTGGGAAGAGTCATGAGTACTTGGAAGAGCCTTCATTTATATGACTAGGAGATTTGCGGGATTTTGTGGGATGTGAAGAAGTCTCCTTCCGGCCCTGGAAGGATCCGTATATTTTTCTTTGGAGGTCATCTCTGCACTGTATGTGCCCAAAGCGACTGGATACTTCAGTCCTGGCCCATGCTTTAATCATGATGGGGGCACATCAGCCAGTGCAACATGGGTTCCCAGGCTTACAATACAGGTTAAACATTGATTGGGCAAGTGTAAAATATTTCTTTATTATGATGCATTCCATTTCAGATACGCTGGTCCAGGATTAACTCCTCTTTGTACATTAACCTCTTTATAAAAGTGTAACGGCAGCCCCAGTACTGCAAACGGATACACGGGTGCAAAGCCTTCAGTCTTCCCAGGGTCTACAGCATTACATCTCTTAGCATGACTGGGACCTAAAAAAATTGATCAAGGCCAGTAGATTAAAAAAAAAAATGATAGGAAGCCCCAAAATGACAAAAAATGATTTAATCAATGTGTAAATGAAGTAAAGCAGACAGCATCATATGGAAAGACTACCAGCTAAATCCAGACTGTCTGAAGACACACCAGTGACCATGGAACTGAGGTACAGAAGTGTGCCACAGTTGTTAGCCTCTCTTGTAGTTAACAAATCATTACACTCCAGCAGAGAGAGGGTTACCACTGCTTGGCTTTGTTACAGGAGTGCTCTGTCTATGTAATTAGTTAATAGAAATGTAGCGCCCAGCTTTTAGATAGCATTTTCAGTCTTTAGATCTCAAAGCACTTTACAAAGGAGGTCAGTCTCATTATCCCCATTTCACAGATGGGAAAACTGAGACAGCAGGAAGGAAATTCCTTGCCCAAGGCGACAAGTGGGAACTGAACCCACATCTTCTAAGGGCCAGTGCAGGGCTCTATCCAGTAGGCCATACTGCACACAGCACTTTTTGTGGGTTTAGTACGACAAATAGAGTTTGCTGTGGTGAACTGCAAAAGGCTTCCTTTGTGCACCTCTTCACAGGCTTTGTGGGCAAAATACATTCTGGAGGAGAGTTTGAAAATCAGAAGGGTCAGAGCTTGTCGCCAGAGAAGCATTGGGAGAGCATGTTGAGCATGGGGGCTTAGTGCAAAGAGGCACAGAGACAAGAATGGGAGGAGACAAGAGTACTGGTCATATGGGAGGTGTTGGTGGAGTGAAGAAAGTGATCTGTGGTAAGCGATAAGGCTGGGGACGTAGGCCAGAGCCTTGATGGTGGGAATGGGAAGGAGCTGAAACCTGATGCAGAAGTGGATAGGAATTCAGTGCAGGGAATCACAGAGAAGACATGATTAAGGACAGTGACTGTGGGAGAAAGGGCAGTGGAGAAAGGAAGGGATGAGGTGGTAGTGCGAGAACGTATATATAACATAGTCAAGAGAGGACCAAGGCCTGATAAGGAGTGGAGAGGAAAGGACAGTGGTTAGAGACGCTATATGTCAAGAAGTGGAAGAATATCGCTTTTTTTTAAGTTAGATTTCCTCCCCATGAACAGTATCCCTTCCTTAATTAGTCTGCTTATTATCAGCTTACCAAAAATTATATCTATCTATATATACACATATATAGATAGATAGATATAGATATATATAGATATACACACACACACATACAGTAAATATAATGCAGAGAGAGAGAGAGAGAGAGTTAATGACACCTAATGTGGGGAGCGGGGGGCAGATTATCCCACATCTGCTATTGAGGAGTTCTGATGCCTTCCTCTGAAGCATCTGTCTCTGGCAGGGGCCAATACCAGGATACTGGACTAGAGGGACCATGGGTCTGATCCAGTCTGGCA